TCTTCAAAAAGACCCTTCATCATTTCATATAATAACGGTTTGGTGGTGATGAACTCCTCTGACTTTTTCTTGTCTGGAAAAGTTTTTATATGTTCATTGATTCTAAATGACAGCTTTGCAGGATAGAGTAATCTTGGTTGTAGGTTCTTGCTTTTCATCACTCTGAATATTTCTTGCCACTCCCTTCTGGCCTGCAAAGTTTCTTTTGAGAAATCAGCTGACAGCCTTATGGGAACTCCCTTGTAGATAACTAGCTGCCTTTCTCTTGCTGCTTTTAATATTCTCTCTTTGTCTTGAACCTTTTGCATTTTGATGATGATGTGTCTTGGTGTGTGCCTCTTGGGGTTCATTTTGTTTGGGACTCTCTGTGCTTCCTGGACTTGTATGTCTGTTTCCTTCACCAAGTTAGGAAAGTTTTCTGCCATTATTGCTTCAAACAGGTTTTCGATTTCTTGTTCTCGCTCTTCTCCTTCTGGCACCCCCAAGATGCGAATCTTGGCACGCTTGAAGTTGTCCCAGAGGCTCCTTACACTATCCTCATTTTTTTTAAATTCTTTTTTCTTTTTGCTGTTCTGATTGGGCGTTTTTTGCTTCCTTATATTCCAAATCGATGGTTTGCTCCTTGGATTTACGTACTCTATTATTGAAGCTGTGTAAATTATTCTTTATTTCAGTTAATGCCTCCTTCAATTCTAACTGTGCATCCATGATTTCTGACTGGTCCTTTTTTATGCTCTTGAGGCCCTGACTAAGTTCACTGAGGTTCTCACTAAGTTCATTGAGCATCCTTATAAGCAGTATTTTCAACTCAGCATCTGTTAGGTTGCTTATCTCTATTTCGCTTAGTTCTTTTCCTAGGGTTTTGTTCTGTTCTTTCATTTGGGACCTGTTTCTTTGTCTCCTCATTTTGGCTGCCTCCCTGTGTTTGTTTCAGTGTATTATTTAACGAGAGGTATGGGGCTCACTGAGACCAGGTGCTGCTCGTTTGAAAGAATTTAGGAAAAACCTGAAGCAGGACCCAAGACAGGCCAATCCTATGGTTAAGCAAGTGGCAACAGCTTGGGTGGGCTTGAAAGTTGGGTGGGGTGGGGTGGTGCGGGGCTTCAGGGAGTCAGCAGGGCGGGGCTACCAGTGTGAGCCAGGTTGCTGGAGTCCCAGATATGGCAGCGGTCTGCCACCCTAGGGACGGGCTCACCAAAGGAACAAAGGCCTCTGACAGCACGTTTGTCCCCGAGAAAGCCCCCTCTCCAGCCCTCGCTCCAGTGCCAAACAGCTCAGTTCTTCCCTGTATGTCTCTGGTGCCCCTCGAGCTGCCTCCCCTCCAAGCTTAGAGGGAGAGAGTCTGACAAGTCCGTGCGCGGGCCCTTTAAGGAGCTGCCTAGGGCTCCAGCCGCTTCAGCTTCCCTGAGCCTCAGTTCCCGCTGGTTTTTCCAGCCAGAGGTTATGGGGACTTCTCTTCCTGGCACTGGAACCCTGAGCGGGGCATCTGGTGTGGGACAGGAACCCCTCAGTCCTCAGGAAGGACCTTCCCAGCCGAGGTATCCCCCTGATTTTTATCCGCCACACGTGGGTGTGGGACCAGCCCGTCATGCCGCCACCCTCCTACCAGTCTGGCTGCTGCTTTAATTCCATAGTTGTAGGACTTCCATTCAGCTGGATTTCAGGCGGTTTTGAATGATGGTTGTTCTGTAGTTTAGTTGTAACTTTGATGTCGTTGTGGGAGGACGCGATACCGCGTTTACCTACCGCCATCTTGACCGGAAGTCTCCTTGTTTTATTTTTAAAGAAGTAAGCACTGAGAAATACTGTTCAAGTAAATAAGAAGAAGAGAAAATCAGGATTTATTTATTATAACTGTATGCAGAGTTCAGTGGTCCCCAAGACACACCTTCAGGTTCAGTAATTCATTAAGTCTCACAGAACTCACTGAAAGTTGTTATTTCTCACAGTTAATTGCAACAAAAGAATACAAATTAAAATCAGTCCATGGAAGTGGCACATAGGGCAGATTCTAGGAGAGTTCCACATGTGTAGGTGCCCATTGTCCTCTCTCAGTGGGGTTATGGACAGCACTAAATTCTCTTGGCAGCAACTGTGACAACACACACAAAGTGTTGCCAACCAGAGAAACTCACTCAAGCCTTGGAATTCAGAGTTGTGATTGGAGCTCAGTGACATAGACATACTTGACCACCTCGGTGGCTGACCTTAGTTTTCAGCCCTTCCAGGGGGCAAGCTGATACCACAGGATTCTAAGCCCCTTCTAGAAATCACATTCATAGCATAGACTCTCTGACATCTCCCCTGGCCCCAGGTAAACAAAGCCACTCTTATCAGACAGGACATTCCAAGGGGTTAGGAATTACCTCCCAGGAGCCAAAGGCAAAAGCCAGCCCTCTGTGTGGACTAAATTAATTCTTTACCGTACACCATACCACTCACTTATTTGAACTCTTTTTAACATGCCAAAAATGACATAATAACTTGTCATTAATAATTACTTTAATAATCAGCGGACAATTCAATTAATTTTACTGAAAGCGAAGAATTACAATTCAACTGTCTTGTAAAGGGATTGTTACCCATCCATTGGAGCACACTTAGACACCAGTATTTGGAAGTATCCCTTCGGTACCCAGGCAGTTTTACACTGGGAGCGCTTTGTACTATAGTGAAATTCCATTTTGCTAAAAGGTAACTTTTGTGGAGTGGGAGGAGAAGGACAAGCTTTACCCTTCATTTTAATGGTGCTTAGCCAAATCAACTTGTTAATAACGGCAAAAAGTAGGGTACCAAACTTGACTTTCTTAAAATTATCAGTTCTGAATGAGGTATCACCTCACACCTGTCAGAATGGCCGCCATCAACAAATCATCAAACAACAAGTGTTGGTGAGGGTGTGGAGAAAAGGGGACTCTAGTACACTGCTGGTGGGAATGCAGACTGGTGCAGCCACTATGGAAAACAATATGGTGTTACCTCAAAAAATGAAAAAATTGAGCCCTGGCCGGTTTGGCTCAGCGGTTAGAGCGTCGGCCTGCGGTCCTGAGAGACCCGGGTACGGTTCCCGCGAAGGGCGCGTACCTCGGCTGCAGTTTGTCCCCGGCCCTGGTCGGTTGTGTGGGTGGCAGCCACTCGATGTGTTCCTTTCACGTCGATGTTTCTCTCTCTCTTTCTGTTCCTCTCTCTCCCTCCCACTCTACCTGAACAAAAAATGGAAAAATGTCCTCGGGTGAGGATTAAAAAAAAAAAAAAATTAAAAATTGAACTGCCATTTGACCCAGTGATCCCACTTCTAGGACTATACCCTAAGAAGCCTGAAACACCAATCAGAAAGAATATATGTACCCCCGTGTTCATAGCAGCACTATTTACAATAGCTAAAATCTGGAAACAGCCCAAATGTCCATCAGTAGATGAATGGATAAAAAGGCTGTGGTACATGTACACATTGGAGTACCATGCAGCTGTAAGAAAGAAAGATCTCTTATCCTTTGAGACGACATAGAGGGACCTGGAAAGTATTATCCTAAGCAAAACAAGCAAAACAGAGAAAGACAAGTATCATAAGATCTCACTTACTTGTGGAATATAATGAACATAACAGTCTGAGAAATGGGGTGGTGCCAGAGATGTGGAAGTGGAGTACACACTGACAATCCCCAGAAGAGGGGGTGGTGGGGGAGAGTGAAACCACAGAACTTACATGCATGTATGCATGAACAGTGGACATGGACAACAAAGCCAGTGACGGGGGGTGGGGGGTGGGATGGGGAGGAGGGTGTCAGTGGGGTAAAAAAAAAATCTGTAACAAAAACTAATTAATCAATTTAAAAAATAATTAATAAATAAAATTATCAGCTCTGCTCTATAACCAGAGATCTCTTACTGGCTCTCTCTACCTTAGCCTCTAGTTTATCCCTGTGGACCTGTGCCCACTAGAAGTAAAACCCCTCTTACCTCCCTGAGTCCCAAGACTCCTAACATCTGTCTCTGTCCACCTTCAAAAGAACCAAAAATTAAGAAATTAGAAAAATTGCCCTGGCCAGTTTGGCTCAGCAGTTAGAGTGTTGGCCCGCGGACCAGAGAGTCCTGGGTTTGGTTCCCGCTAAGGGCACATACCTCAATTGTGGTTTGTCCTTGGCCCTGGTTGGGGTCATGTGGGTGGCAACCACTCAATGTGTCTCTCTCACATCGATGTTTCTCTCTCTCTTCCTCCCTCTCTCCCTCCCGCTCTATCTGAAGATAAATGCAAAAATGTCCTCAGGTGAGGATAAAAAAGAAATTTGAAAAATTACAAATCTCTGAACCCAGGGAAGACAAGCCATTTTACTTATTGGACAAAAGTCTTTAGTTCTCTCTGGAGGAGGCTCTGATTCTCAGATTTATGTAAATAAATACCCCCATTAGAGTTTCCTCAACAATAGAATTTGAAATGGTGAAGTAAAAACAACTACTAAATGGTTAACATTTTTGGTTCCTGAGATAGATGATAGATAGATAGATAGATAGATAGATAGATAGATAGATAGATAGATAGATATAGATAGATATAGATATATACATACACACACATATGCATACACATACATACATATATATACACACATATGTATATGTGTGTGTGTGTATAGGACTTAACATGATGCCCAATAAATTATTTAAGTAGCAAAGGGGCGAAGTCTGATTTCTTTTAGAACCAATGACCCTACCCATAGGAAAACGGATTGGATAAGGCAACTGGAGCATGGGGAGCAATTAGGAAACCTTAACAATAGTCCAGGGGTCATAAAGATTTCAGCTTGCAGCCCATGAAGTATTGTTTCCCCGTCTATATGTAGGCATCAGAATGTCAGCATTGTTATTACATTTTTCACTGAAGTATAATGTACATACAGAAAAGGACATGTCTTAAGTGTATAGCTTGATGAATTTTCAGTGTTTATGTATTATTTTTCAACTTATCTACAGGTTTTTTGTTTGCCCTTTTTTCTTCCCAGATAATTTTTATGGTGGGACGAGGATATCTATCTCCAGATCTCAGTAAGGTACGAAGTAACTGTCCAAAAGCCATGAAGAGATTAATGGCAGAGTGCCTAAAAAAGAAAAGAGACGAGCGACCGCTCTTTCCCCAAGTAAGAAAAAACTTTATGTTACCTAAAAGGACAGACTGCTATTCAGATGCAGATCTTTCAGCACTTTTTAGAACACACAGTTTGTATTTCATGGATTTGGATACTGTGTGATGATGTGCAGGCTGCAGATAAGTAAATGCAAAGATGGTTCATAAAGGTAAAACAGTGGGACACCTAGACACTTTGGATCCCAATTCACAGTATTCAGAAAGGCTTTGATTAGTCTAGCTGTTCTCAAATGTTTTGGTCTCAGAACCCTTTTACACACTTTAAAATGATTGAAGACCCCCAAAGAGCTTTTGTATGTAAGTAATAATTACCATTTTAGAACTGAAAACTAAATTTTAACTAAGTTTTTAAAATACTTATAATTTTATTTAAACATCATAAAATTGTTCTATGTTAAATAATGTTTTTATGAAAAATAATTGTTTCCCCAAACAAAAAAAAAGAGAGAAAAGTAACATTTTTTATAAATCTCTGTAGAAGGAAGACAACTGGATTATCTGGTTTGCATTCATTATGACACAGTATTTTACATCATTTAGCCTCTGAAAACTCCACTTAACACCTATAAAATAATTACAGTAATGAAGGCAAATATCTTAGTGTTACGATGAAAGTAGCTTTTCCACAGACCACACTTTGAGAACTGCTGCCTTAATTATTCTTGATGGTAAAAGAAACAGATTCCACACTTCCCTTTAATACTAGGTCTTTTTGAGGGCATTTCCACCTGGGGCTAAAGGAAATGGCAGCTCTCAGCAGTCTGCCTTTCTTTGATTTTTAGAAAATTTACATTGTTTTTTGTCTGTTTACATTGTAAAGTGAAAGCCTTTAAGTTAATAAAGTTTCACTAAGCCTCACAGACTGGAGCTAATTACCTGGATAAGCTTAGAAAGTTTAATGAAGTAGGAGATTCCAAAATGGCGGTGGAGTAAATGGAAGTTACACAGACTGTTTCCCAGGACCAAACTGGAATTACAACTAAAATAAAGACAAATCTTTGGGAAAAAGCAACAGAAAAGCATCTTGCGAGAACCATATAACCAGGAACACTGACTCGATTCTGGTAGGACTGCAGGGGTGAGAGGTGGGGGCCAGGAGCCCACAGACAGCAGCAGCCTTAGCTGTGAGCAGCGCCCTCAGGGTTAAACTCCCAAGCAGCTCCACAGCCCAGATCCGGGACAGGTGCTAAAATAGCCACAGCCACTCACCTTGGGCTCTGGCAGAGGGATGACGGACTGGACTGGAACTGTGTGGGGACACTTGGGATTTGGAGGGTGCTCAGAGCTTTTGCTGAGTTGCAGCCACTCAGGACTGTGGCCATATTGCTCCTTCCCAGGACTCTGGGGAGAGGTTGTGGCCCCTCCGTCGGAGATTCAACCCCACCCAGGTGGGCCATTGAAATGCAAATTGAGGCTCATTAACAACCAGCGTCTGCCCCACCCTCAGGAAATCCCCTTACGCTGAGCACCTGAGGGAGTTTTTCATTCAACTGAGAACCCAAGGCTCTTTAAGTAACCACTACTGATTGCCTCCAGGCAAAAAGCTAGAGAATAACTGAACCATTCCTGGGCTAGCAACTCTAACCAGGAAATAAGACTTGACAGTGGTGTTTAAGGTAGGTCTTCCCTTGCTCATCCAAACCCAGGAGAGGGAATCACAAACAGCAGAACACCAACACCCACAGAGAAAATTTGGCAGGGTCCAAAGCCCACTGTGATAGCCAAAATGGTGAAACAAAGAAACAGAAGCCAAATGAAAGAGCAATAGACTTCTACCAAAGATGAGATAAATATGGAGCAGTTAAACAAGTTAATAGAGCTAGAATTCAGAGCCATGATCTTGAGGAAGCTCAACAGCATGAGTAAGGACATCAACACCATGAGTAAAGACATAGAAATGTTGAAAATCAACCAATTGGACATTAAAAACCACCAAGAAGAAATCAAGAATGACATCAGAAATAATGAACACATTGGAAGGTCTAAACAGCAGAGTAGAGGAAGCTGAGGACCGGATCAGTGAATTAGAAAACAGGGTAGAAAAAGTCAACCTATCAGAAAACCAAAAGGAAAAAACAATTATAAAACAGGAAGACAGCTTAAGAGAACTGTGGGACAACTGGAAACGTAATAACACTCACATCATAGGAGTCCCTGAAGAAGAAGAAAATGAGCAAGGGTTAGAGAATATATTTGAAGAAATAGTGACAGAAAACTTCCCTAATTTGGCGAAGGAAGAAGGCATTCAAGTTCAAGAAGCACAGAGAGCCCCAAGTAAGAGGAACCCAAACAGGCTCACACCAAGACACAGTAATTAAAGTGCCAAAAATGAAAGACAAAGAGAGAATCCTAAAAGCAGCAAGAGATAAGCAACAGGTTACCTACAAAAGAACCCCCATAAGGCTTTCAGCTGACTTCTCAACAGAAACACTACAAGCCAGAAGGGAATGGCATGAAGTAATAAAGGTCATGAAAAACAAGGATCTGAATCCAAGACTACTCTACCCAGCAAGGCTATCATTCAAAATACAAGGTCACATAAAGAGCTGTCCAGACCAAAAAAAAAAAGGCTAAGGGAATACATTAGCACCAAACCAGCACTGCAAGAAATGTTAAAAGGACTGCTGTAATTAATAGAAGAAATAGGAAGAAAAATATAACCAAACTAAACAAAAATGGCAATAAATAAGTACATATCAATAATCACTTTAAATGTAAATGGACTGAATGCTCCCATAAAAAGACACAGAGCAGCTGATTGGATAAGAAAGCATGACTCATCTATATGTTGTTTACAAGAGACCCAACTCACAACAAAAGACTCACATAGGTTGAAAATGAAGGGATGGAAAAAAATCTTCAAAGCAAACGGAAAGGGGAAAAAAGCTGGGGTAGCAATACTCATATAAAATAGATTTTAAAATGAAGGCCATAACTAGAGACAAAGAAGGCCACTACATAATATTGAAAGGATCTATCCAACAGGAAGATATAACCTTGATAAACATATATGCATCCAATATAGAACCAAAATATATTAAAAATATTCTGGAGGCCTTCAAGGAGAAATCAACAGCAATACAATCATAGCAGAGGATTTCAACACCCCACTGACATCACTGGATAGATACTCTAGACAAAAAATTGGCAAGGAAACAGAGACTCTAAATGAAGCACTAGACCAAATGGATTTAACAGATATCTACAGAGAATTACACCCCAAAACTACAGAATTCACATTCTTCTGAAGTACACATGGGACATTCTCAAAGATAGACCACATGATAGGACACAAACTAAATCTCTACAAGTTCAAGAAGATTGAAATCATATCAAGCATCTTCTCAGATCACAATGGCATGAAACCTGAAATCAACTGCAACGAAAACATGCAAAGACATTTGAACACATGGAGGCTAAATAACATGTTATTAAACAATGAATGGGCTACCGAGGAGATGGAGGAAGAAATGAAAAACTTCCTAGAAACCAATGAAAATGAACACACAACACCACAAAATCTATGGGATGCAGCAAAAGCAGTTCTGAGAGGGAAGTTCATAGCACTACAGGCCTACCTCAAGAAACAAGAAAAATCTCTAATAGACTATCTAACCTCACAACTTAAATAATTAGAAAGCAAACAAAAAGAAAACCCCAGAGCAAGTAGAAGGAAGGAACTAGTAAAGATCAGAGCAGAAATAAATGACATAGAGACCAAAAAGAAAAAAACAATTCAAAGGATCAATGAAACAAAGAGCTGGTTTTTCGAAAAGATAAACAAGATTGGTGGACCCTTAGCTAGATTCACCAAAAAACAAAGAGAGAAAACCCCATTACACAAAATCAGAAATGAAAGGAGAGAAGTAACTGACACCACAGAAATACAAAACATTGTTAACAACTACTATGAGCAATTATGTGGCAACAAATTCAACAATCTAAGCGAAATGGACAAATTTCTAGGAACACATAGTCTCCCAAAACTGGACTGGGAAGAGATAGAAAACTTGAATAGACCAATAACAACTAAGGAAATTGAAGATGTAATCAATACTCTCCCAGCAAACAAAAACCCAGGCCCGGATGGCTTCACAGGGGAGTTTTACTGAACATTCAAAAAAGAACTAACACCCATTCTTCTCAAACTATTCTAAAAAATTCAAGAAGAAGGAAAACTTCCAAACTCATTTTATGAGGCCAGCATAATTCCAATTCCAAAATCAGAAAAAGACACTACAAAGAAAGAAAACTACAGGCCAATATCCCTGATGAACATAGACGCCAAAATCCTGAACAAAATACTAGCAAAATTGAATCCAGCAATACATCAAAAAAATTATTCACCATGACCAAGTGGAATTCATCTCAGGGATGCAAGGCTGGTACAATATTCACAAATCAAAAAATGTGATACACCACATAAATAAAAGGAAGAATAAAATTCACATGATCATACCAATAGATGATGAGAAAGCATTCGACAAAATCCAGCATCCATTTCTGATAAAAACACTCAACAATGTGGGATTAGAGGTGTCATATCTCAACATAATAAAGTCCATATATGAAAGACCTATAGCCATCATCATACTCAATGGGCAGAAACTAAAAGCATGTCCCTTAAGAACAGGAACAAAACAAGGATGCCCACTTTCGCCACTCTTATTTAACATAGTACTGGAAGTCTTAGCCACAGCAATCAGACATGAAGAAAAAATAAAAGGGATCCAAATTGGAAAGGAGGAAGTGAAACTCATTATTTGCAGATGACATGATATTATACATAGGAAACCCTAAAGACTCCATCAGAAATCTACTAGACTTAATAAATGAATTTGGCAAAGTAGCAGGATACAAAATTATGTCAAGAAATGGATGGCGACTTCCAGTCAAGATGGCAGCATAGGTAAAAGCGGTATCTCATTCTCCCACAACCTCATCAAAGTTACAACTAAACTACAGAACAACCACCATTGAAAACCACCTGAA